AGGGAATGATCCCAATCTTTTGATACCGGTTGAGACCTGATTTAGGACCGAGGATGTGATCTATTCTGGAGAATGTAACATGGGCACTAGAGAAGAATGTGTATTCTGTTGCTTTGGGATGAAATGTTCTGAATATATCTGTGATGTCCATCTGGTCCAGTGTGTCATTTAAGGCCTTTATTTCCTGTTGATCTTTTGCTTGGATGATCTGTCCATTTCAGTGAGGGGAGTGTTAAAGTCCCCTACTATTATTCTATTATTGTCGATGTGTTTCTTTGATTTTGTTACTAATTGGTTTATATAGTTGGCTGCTCCCACGTTAGGGGCATAGATATTTAAAATTGTTAGATCTTCTTGTTGGACAGATCCTTTGAGTATGATATAGTGTCCTTCCTCATCTCTTATTATAGTCTTTGGCTTAAAATCTAATTGATCTGATATAAGGATTGCCACTCCTGCTTTCTTCTGATGTCCATTAGCATGGTAAATTCTTTTCCACCCCCTCACTTTAAATCTGGAGGTGTTCTCGGGTTTAAAATGAGTTTCTTGTAGGCAACATATAGGTGGGTTTTGTTTTTTTTATCCATTCTGATACCCTGTGTCTTTTGATTGGGGGCATTTAGCCCATTAACATTCAGGGTAACTATTGAGAGATATGAATTTAGTGCCATTGTATTGCCTGTAAGGTGACTGTTATTGTATATTGTGTCTGTTCCTTTCTGATCTACTACTTTTAGGCTCTCTCTTTGCTTAGAGGACCCTTTTTAATATTTCCTGTAGAGCTGGTTTGGTGTTTGCAAATTCTTTCAGTTTTTGTTTGTCCTGGAAGCTTTTAATCTCTCCTTCTATTTTCAATGATAGCCTAGTTAGATATAGTATTCTTGGCTGCATGTTTTTCTCGTTTAGTACTCTGAATATATCATGCCAGCTCCTTCTGGTCTGCCAGGTCTCTATGGATAAGTCTGCTGCCAATCTAATATTTTTACCATTGTATGTTACAGTCTTCTTATCCCGGGCTGCTTTCAGGATTTTCTCTTTGTCGCTAAGACTTGTACATTTTACTATTAGGTGACGGGGTGTGGACCTATTCTTATTGATTTTGAGGGGGGGTTCTCTGAACCTCCTGGATTTTGATGTTTGTTCCCTTTGCCATATTGGGGAAATTCTCTCCAATAATTCTCTCCAATATACCTTCTGCTCCCCTCTCTCTTTCTTCTTCTTCTGGAATCCCAATTATTCTAATGTTGTTTCATCTCATGCTGTCACTTATCTCTTGAATTCTCCCCTCGTGGTCCAGTAGCTGTTTGTTCCTCTTTTGCTCAGCTTCTTTATTCTCTGTCACTTGGTCTTCTTTATCTCTAATTCTTTCTTTTGCCTCATTTATCCTAGCAGTGAGAGCCTCCATTTTTTATTTCACCTCATTAATAGCTTTTTTGATTTCAACTTGGTTAGATTTTAGTTCTTTTATTTCTCCAGAAAGGGCTTTTATATCTCCCGAGAGGGTTTCTCTAATATCTTCCATGCCTTTTTTGAGCCTGGCTAGAACCTTGAGAATCGTCATTCTGAACTCTAGATCTGACATATTACCAATGTCTGTATTGATTAGGTCCCTAGCTTTTGGTACTGCCTCTTGTTCTTTTTTTTGTGGTGAATTTTTCCGCCTTGTCATTTTGTCCAGATAAGAGTATATGAAGGAGCAAGTAAAATACTAAAAGGGTGGCAACAACCCCAGGAAAATATGCTTCAACCAAATCAGAAGAGATCCCAAACCATGAGGGGAGATAAAGGGGATAAAAAGAGCTTCAGAAAGAAAAGGAAAAAAAAAGAAACAATTAAAAAAGAAAACGAATAAAGAAAAAATATAAAAACGAAAATATATATATATATATATTAGATAAACTAGTTAAAAAACGTTAAAAAAGAAAAGGGTAAAAGTTAAAAAAATTTGGCAGAAGAAGAGAAAAAAATTGAGAAAGAAAAAAATTAAATTAACTTCAAGGCTAAAGAATCATGGGGAGAAAGCCATGAGTTCCCTGCTTTGCTTTCTCCTCCTCTGGAATTCCGCTGCTCTCCTTGGTATTGAAACTGCACTCGTTGGTGGGTGAACTTGGTCCTGGCTGGGGGAGGGGCCTGTTGTAGTGATTCTCAAGTGTCTTTGCCCCAGGCGGAATTGCACCGCCCTTACCAGGGGCCGGGCTGAGTAATCTGCTCTGGTTTGCTTTTGGGAGCTTTTGTCCCTGAGCGCTTTCCGTAGAGTTCCGGAGGACGGGAATGAAGATGGCGGCCTCCCAGTCTCCGGCCCAAAGGAGCCAAGAGCCCGGGGCCCCACTCCTCAGTGCACCCTCAGAGAACAGCGCCCAATTACTCCCGTCACCCTGGCCTCTGGCCGCTCTCCGAGCTGACCAAGCCTGAGACCGGTTCAAGGTAACCCCGAGCTGAGAACTCACTCCTTGGCTCTGTCTCTGTAGCCAGCTTCCCTGTTCTAATACCTGTAAGCTCTGCGACACTCAGACACCCCCGATCCTTCTGTGACCCTGTGGGACCTGAGGCCACGCTGACCCCGCATGGGCTTCACCCCGGTTAAGCCTCTGGAGCGATGTCCCTCAGTGGAACAGACTTTTAGAAGTCCTGATTTTGTGCTCCGTTGCTCTGCCACTTGCCGGGAGCCTGCCCCTCCCCCCGCGGTCTATCTTCCCGTCACTTTGGATTCACTTCTCCACCAGTCCTACCTTTCAGAAAGTGGTTGATTTTCTGTTTCTAGAATTGCTGTTCTTCTTCTCTTCACTCTCCCATTGGATTTGTAGGTGTTTGCAATCTTTAGATCAGCTATCTAGCTGATCTCCTGCTACCTGAAATAGTCTCAGCCTGCTACTTCTCTGCCATCTTGATTCCTCCTCCCTCTTTTTTTTAATCATTTTTAAAAAATTTATTTTCAGCATAACAGTATTCATTGTTTTTGTACCACACCCAGTGCTCCATGCAATCCGTGCACTCTCTAATACCCACCACCTGGTTCCCCCAACCTCCCACCCCCCCACCTCTTCCAACTCTTCAGATTGTTTTTCAGAGTCCATAGAGAATGGACAATGCAGAGAATCATAGGGGAAGGGAGGGAAAATTGAATGGGAAGTCATCAGAGAGGGAGACAAACCATGGGAGACCTAACTATAGGAAACAAACAGGGTTATTGGAGGCAAGCTGGGTGGGGGCATAGGGTAATTGTGTGATGGGCATTTAGGAGGGCACATGATATCATGAGCACTGGGTGTCATAAACAGCTGACGAATTATTAATTCTACCTCTGAAACTAATGATGTATTATATATTGGCTAGTTGAATTTAAATTAAAAAAATTTTAAAAATATGCAAAAGATTTGAATAGACATTTCTCCAGAGAAGATATACAAAATGCTGACAAGCAAATGCAAATATCATTAACATCATTAGTTATTAAGTAAATGAAAATTAAGACCAGAATGAGATACCACTTTATACCTATGAGGATGGCTATAATATCAAAACTTTCCCAAATAACAAGTGTTTGCAATGATGCACAGAAATTAGAATGCTTATCCATTGCTGGTGGAAATGTAAATGGTCCAGCCACTTTGGAAAACAGTCTGGCAATTTCTCAAAATGTTAAACGTAGAGTTTCTATATGACCCAGAAATTCCATTCTTAGGTATCTACCCAAAAGAAATGAAAGCATACATCTACACAATGATTTGTACATGAATGTCAATTGCTGTGCTATTCATAATAGCCTCAAAGCAGAAACAACCTAAATGTCCATCAACTGATGAATGGATAAATCAAATGTGTCTTACCTTATGAAGACATATTATTTGTGAATCAAAAGAAATGAAGTTCTGATATAAGCTCTGAGCTCAGTTTGGATCTTGGGATTCTATCTCCCTGTTCTCTCTCTCTCACATAATAAATAAATCTTTAAAAAATTAGTCTGGGTGTGATGCATAAACAGTGAATCTTGGAACACAGAAAAAATAAAATCAAATAAAAAATTAGTTTGAAAATACTTTCTTTGAGACAAAAATAAAACCATTAACAAAATGATTGCAGTTCTTTCAAAATGCATGCAAAGAAGTCCACAACAATGAAAAATTTTTAAACAATGAGCAGACTATTTGAGGATGCAGGAATCAGAGGGAAGTATTTGTGGCCAGCTTTTAATGCTCTCGTTACCATCTCCTGGGTAGCATGGATGCTGAAAGAACTGGGAAAACTGCAAGCAGAAATCAGTTGTGTTTCAACAATAAAACAATTGATACAATGTTATTTAGGACTGTACTTAAAACAATGAATCTTGGAACACTAAAAATAAAATAAAATACAAGATTGTACTTAAAATAGATCAAATCACGTTATGTAATTTTCAACTTTCAAGATTCATTGCATTTTCTTCATTTCCATGTAGTGTTGGGTTTATTTTTGAATACCTTATTTTTATCTAATTGTTGCAATTTTATGTTATATCAATGACATAATGATAGACTTATTGATGTTTGTGTAGGTTTATTTTTGTTTATCATTTAAAAAATCTTAAGCTTTTGTGCTTAAAACAAATAAAAGACAATTTCACACATTATTAAAAATAATATGAATTCTTTTTTTTCTGATTAGACTTGCACTTGATTTTATTTAGCTAATTTTCAGAAATGTTAACATTTTTAATTTTTTTAAAATTTATTTTATTTTTTCAGTGTTCCAAGATTCATTGTTTATGCACCACACCCAGTGCTCCATGCAATATGTGCCCTCATTAATACTCACCACTAGGTCCTCCCAAATACTGACCCCTCTCCCCTTCAAAACCCTCAGTTTTCTTTTCTCAGAGTCCAAAGTCGCTCAATATGAGTTCTTTTAAATAAGATCCTGTGATGTGAGTGTGGTCATTTGGCTCCAGTGGGGCAGTCTCTAGGAAGAAGGAGTGAGAAGGTGAACAGGGAGATCAGGAGACTGATGCAGACTTGGGTATTTACCTGTGCCTGCAGGAGCATGCACAATGGCCCATTGGGCAGGAACTTGCTTAGCACTCTTAGGACATTCTCCAGGCCAACGAGCAGATGAGTGGCCACACAGTGCTGCTTTGAGGGAGGCAGGGTCTTCAGGTCCCCTGGGGTATCCAGCAGCTCACCTACTTCCTTCATGAGGTCCTGGGGGGATGCAGACACAGAGCCAGTGGGAAATAGATCAAAGGGGTTTCACAAAGTCCTGGCCATTCAGCCCTAGAGAACAGACCCTAGAGACTGGGTATTTGGCACTGAATGAAATTTCCAAAATGGTTCTTGTTGCTTAGGTCTCAGCTACTTAGAGGTCAACTCAGGTCAAAAAGTCCAAGATTGACAAAATCCTGAATCCCAGAACAAGCAATAGGGAAATAGATAAATACATTAGTGCACCTGGATATCTTTAAAATTGTTTCTAGATAGCTGAGTGCCCTAGTCTTCTCACCAATATGGTTGAGGGACTAGTTGCAGTGCCCACTACATGAAGACTTTTCTCCACTCCTACTAAAGATCTCTATGGGATTCTCATATCTTGCCTCTTTCTTGGTTCCAATTTTACCTGGATGGTGTTCTTGGCCAAAGCTGGTTTGAAGTCTTGGGATAACTGCTGGACTTTGTCAAAGAAGTGGGAGAGACTCTGGGGAAAGGGGATATGGTGGTGAGTCAGAGAGCCTGAAGAGGGTGGACACAAGATGGTTGGTGAACATCTTTCTGCTTCTGGTCTTCTGCTGAAATTTCACTCACCTGGCTGCTGACTCCAGAAGGTGATGTCCATGAGGAGAAGGGGACCTCTGCAGGCTAAAGAGGCAGAAGCACTGCTGGTGTGTGTGTGTGTGTGTGTGTGTGTACATGATGAATGCATATATGTGTTTGCTTTTTGTGTTGCAAATGCACGTATGCACACACATGTTCATATGTAAGAGTATATGTGCACACACATGCACATGCATGTTATACTTAAATGTGCACATACGTATGTGTGTCAGGACTATATACCTTCACAGATGGTGAGCTTCAGACCATGCAGAGGCTTGGACCTGGCCATCCAGTCATGGTGACAGTAACATCTATAGCTTCCCTTCACACTGACGCAATGGGTCGAGTTGTGGCATTGGTGTTTTCCAGAGACACACTCATCCACATCTAAAGGCATAAAAGAGAGGATCAGTCCCCTATCTCAGCTCAGGCCTTTCCTCTTCTCATTAACTCCAGCCTTACCATCCTCTACCTTCCTCAATGTCAGGAGTCCATCATAGCTGAAATGGATGGATACCATCAGGTGGCAGCACTCCCAACTCATCAACCACCTCAGAGCAGGGATTGGCAAACTATGGCCCACAGCCAAACCCAGCTGTTGCCCATTTCTACATATGGGAATTACATGAAATTCAAATTTTATTAACCATAGAGAGAATTGTACTGGAATGCAGTCACTCCTATTCATTTATGTATTGTCTATGTCTGCTTTCATACTATAATGGCAGAGTTGAGTAGTTGTGACAGGGACCGTCTGGCCCACAAAACCAAAGATATTTACTATGAGGCCCTTCACATGAGGAGCTGGCTGGCCTCTACATTCAAGGAAAGTTGGCAAGATGAGAACTCTGTATATATGTGTGAGTGTGTGATATTTCAGGTCAGAGCTGCTTGGTGGATGGTGAATATTGTAGACAAAATAATGGCCCTTTCAAAGATGTTCAAGTCTTTATGCCTGGAGCCTGTGATTATGTTAGCTTTTGTCCAAAATAAATTTTGAACTTGGTGATTAAGAATTTTGTTGGGGGAATAGTCTGATGATCTGGGTGTATCTAATGTAATCACAAAGGTTCTTACAAAAGAGATGATCAGAGAACAAAGGAGATGATGCATATGATGATGGCTTTGAAATGGAGAAAGGAGCCCTGTACCAAGGAAGGCAGGCAGCTTCCAGAGGCCAGAAAAGGCAAGGAAACAAATTCTCTCTTCGAGCCTCTAGAAGGAAACATTTAAAACTTCTGACCTTCAACACTGTAAGGGAATATACTTATACTGTTTTAAGCTGTTAAGTCTGTTATATCAGCTATAGGAAACTAATACAGTGGTCCACTTAGGAGCCAGGAAATCCAGCCAACTTCCAGCCAAGTAGTGTTGGTATAAGCCCCTCACGTTGCTGCAAAAGTCTGATGGATAATCTGAAGATCTGCTTAGCCAGCTCACAAAACCTCTAACCTCACTGCTTAATGACACCTGTAAATTTTCTATGGCTCCAGCCACAGCTCTACCCTTTAGGGCTTGGGGGTCACATAGCGCTCTGTAATGCCTATAGCCCGTGGGGGGAGGTGGTAGGTCTGTTCTAAGTGCCACACCCAGAGGGAACTTGTTTTTGACCCAGAATGTCTCCAGCATCCCTGCTATCTCCCTACCCAAAGGAAGTTCCTCCTTTGAGCAGTTTGTGAGTGAAAAATGAGGAAGGAGTGTGATTGTGGTCACAGCACTGAATAAGTGTGGGTATTTTCACATCCACTTGCCTCCCAACTTATCTTTCCTTCTTTTCTAATTAGAAATTTGATACTCTTTTGTTGACTTACAAACCAAGAGAGTGGAGTTTGGACTACACTTGCTATAGTTTTTTTCTGTTTGTAACCTAGACAGTGAGGTAGGAGATGCTTCTCTTACTTAAGATCAGAAATTTTTCTTCTTTAGGGATGGTAAGTAGCTTATAAACAGCATCATGTTC